TCGTTTACTTCTAATTTTAGAGAAGCAAAAGAAATTTCTTTTCTAAGAGAAAAAAGAGAAAAAATTACATTTAAAGCTTCAATGCAGATTCTATATAATATCAGTACTGAATAGTGGATCATGGCAACGTAGAGTGTCAATAATGAACGTCCGGAAAGACATCGTCTGCGTCTAATGTTCCGGCAAATTGGCTTCGCGAATGTAGCCTCGCGAGTCGTCTCCCAGGAGGAATCTGCAAGTACGAGCGGAAGATTCTTCTCGTTGCGCCGATTTTTTTCCCCGTAAGTACGTCACGTCTCGACGATACCGGGGGATATATCCGTCCGCGCGCGCCTCGTGCGCCGAAATCGGCTCCGTTTCGCGAAGCCAGCCAACCCCATAACTGGGAGAATTTGTAAGGAAGCGAGAGACACACGAAGATCCTCTCTTCACAATCGCGCACGTAAACGCTCTCGTGGCTGCGTAAAATTGTCCGGAAAGAAGGGAGATATACAGCCGAGGAAAACAAAAAGATTGTGGTGAGTCAAACTAGTTGGCGTTCAGAGGTTGAAGTAAAAGATACATCGAGAGAGACAGTCGCTATGATAAAACGTTAAAAAACTACGTAACGTCTCTCGTAATTTTGTTGTACAGCTTATAAATTACTTTCCAATTTGTTTAAACGTACTTTGCCGTAAATTACACTGAAAAATGGAAATCTTGCGCTGCGTTTTTGTCGGAAGGAAAGATATCCCCGGGGAAGAAGAACGTAAATTAGGATTCGAGAGAAAGAAATCGACGAGAGGTATCGCGAATCGATTCGTTTCGCGCCACTTACGTGATGCGCCTCCGGTCTCTCGCGCAAAAGGTCGCGTATAACGAGCCGCGATTTAAATACGCGCCTTCAATCGTCCACAATGGGGACGTCGGGGCGGCGGGTATTTAAAGAAATATTTTAATTGCAGGACGTAAGCCGCTTACGTGTCCCCCTTCTCTCGTGTACGTTAATAAAAACAGCCCCACCCGCCTATTTCAAGAAAGCGGCTCGCGTTGCGTGACCCCGTGGAAAGTAATTCGACCTCCTCTCGTTTCGCTCGGCCAAAAATTATTCGCCCGGCGCACCACCCTCGCTTAGGAAGAGAAAAGCGGCTCGATTAGAAATCGTAATTCCGGATTAAACGGCTCCTTTCGTAACTAAAAGATATAACATGTAGTTCTCGCTTGGCGAGACTTTATAAACCTCTTTCTCTACCAAATATTAAATCAGATACCGCAAGATTTTCGGTTTACAGAGAATTGTGAGTTTCTCTATTCAAGTTTTTTTATTGCGAGAAAAAAAATTATATTAATCGTCGCTTTAACGTCCCTCTTTTTCAGCTGAAAGTCCATCACATTTTCCAGCACGATCGTTTTTATAATACAGCCATGCGCACGTGATGCACGTCTGTATAAAATCGCGCTGGCCGTCCCGAGGGAAGTCGATTTAAGCTCTCTGTGGTAAGCGTCCGGCCACGGCTGTGAAGGAGGAACGTATAAAAGAAGCGGGCGCCTCTGTAATTGGGCATCAAAAGGCGATATTTCGCGCGTTCGCCGACGACCACCTTCCCGATGGGAGAAGAGGAAGATCCAGCCGCGGCGACCCGGGCTCGCTCTCGTGGATCCCCGCGATACCACGTGGCCGCCGAACCGCGAGGGGATGGCCTTTTACGATAGGGTCGGTTCTACCCCCCCC